GCCCCCAGGCCTGTTTCCGATCCCAGGGCACAAGGAAGAGTGATGGGTGTGTATGTGTGCAGTAAAGAAGTCAGCTCTGCTGACTTAGCTGGTTTGGCTCAGTGGATAGAGCATCCCAGGTTCAATTCCAGGCAAGGGCACATGGTTTCAGGCTGGATCCCCAGTAGGGGACGAGCAGGAGGCAGCTGATCCATGATTCTCTCTCATCATTGATGTTTCTGTCTCTCTCTCCCTCTCCCTTCCTCTCTGAAATCAATAAAAATATATTAAAAGAAAAAGTCAGCTCCTCTCCCCAGGGCAATAATATGACCACTGCAAAGTCACTCAGAAAAGACCATAAGACCTGGAGTCCCCGAGTGGTTGGGAAGCACCCTAAATCCCCCCTCCCCGCCCTGCCTGCCCCCCACCCCCGGCCTGGGACCAAGGTGGTAAAATCCTGAGGCCACAGGATCCAAACTGGTGCAACCGCCTCTAGACACTCAGCACAGCCTTTGGGATGGGCACGCTGTTGGAATGTCGCTGTCAGTGTCCCGCGTTGCATTCGTGGGGGCAGGGTGTCAGGTGGGTGGAGGGCCACGCGGGGGGCCTCATCGCACCCCGGACGGTGCTGTCCTAGGCTGCCCAGTGCCTGCAGCGCATTTTGGCCAGGAAGGAGTCGAAGACGGGTTCCGGACGCCCCCTGGCGGGGTTTCTGGATTCGGGTCCCGCCAGGTCTTCCCTCGGGCATCTCTTCTCAGCTCTAGTTCGACCCCCCACCCCCGCGCCCGCTCCCCTGAGACCACACAGAAGTCCGCAAACCCTGTCTGATCGGAGGGGGAGAAGCACAGCCCGGCTGGCGCCCCGTGCCCCCTCCCAGGCGGGCCTCCACCCGTCGCCTCTCTGCGTCCTCTGCCTCGGAGCACCGGACGGCACCCAACTCCATCCCCTGCGCCCCGCGATCGCCCCGCGAAACCCTCTGCGCTCGGCGACTTTGGCTCCTGTCCCCGGGGGCCTTCACAGCTGGGGACCGGCGCAGGGGAGGGCGCAGAGTCAGGTTTCCAGCTGGAACGGCCGCAGAGAGCGGGGGGGGCGGCTGGAAGAGGGGGGGTCCGGGGCCCCCGCGGGAAGCTAGGTGGCCACCGCGGCACCCCCG